TTTATTTTAATTTCTTTTATACATTCAATAACATGTCATTTAGCTTGTAAAGTGAATGTTTCAACATGAATACATTTCTCACCAGTCCAGCTGGGGATAGTATTCATGTTATCATCAACAGATAATAACCCATTTCTTTGTCCCATAAATGTCTTGCCTCTCTATTTTTCTTTTTAATGTCTTTCCCGACTCTCCTGTTTCTTGTACCTTCTTCCTACACTGTAGCTGGTATCTATAATCATTTTCTATGTTCCTATACCCTCTAGTCATTCAGTTTCAACCATAGAGTGGAGGCAGTTGGCATATATTAAGTGTTTTGTATTTTTGTCACGTTTGTTGTAATATGGCCTGTTTCATTGTGAATTTTATTTATTTAGCTCCCGTTTCTCTTCTTTTTAATTAGTCTAGCTAATGGTATGTCAATCTTGTTTATCTTTTCAAAGAACCATCTTTTGCTTTCATTTATTTTCTATATAGTTCATTTATTTTCTATTTCATTTATTTCTGCTTGAATCTTTATCATTTCTTTTTGCTTGGCATTTAAAAAAAGTTGTTATTGTAGTTTTTCCAGGTCTCTGAGGCATGATGTTAGGTTGTCCACTTGCCATCTTTCTATCTTTTTCTTATGCACACTAACTGCTATGAACTCCCCTCTTATGGCTACTTTTTTAAAATTTCAATTTGCATTCATTCCCTGTACATCATTACAGCATACAAAATGAGATTTTCCATCCGGAGTACACTGTATATTGTCTCAATCAAGCACATCAACAAACATGTTATTGTCAGCAAATGATCTTCCATTTCTTGTTTCTGTATGTTTTGCCCCCCATCCTGGATTCCCTATCTCTTGCCCTCTGCCACCTCCCACTCTCCTCCCCCACTGTCTCCTGTATCTATGTTTGCTTTCTATACTGTTTTTCCCCACATTTTATTGAATCACCAAAGACCCTAATCAATCCAAATACCCTCATAGCAAACACAGGTGACACACACATTTCCATGAACACAAGTCTAACTTTATGCATCCTATAAAGTAGCACCTAGCTGGGGCTACATATCCTACTGCAGTCATTGAATAGATATATTTTTTTTCCTGAAACTTTTTTTTTGGTAACTCAATTTACATTCCTTCCCTAAGCATCATCACAGCACACAAAATGTGATCTCCCATCCAGTATACACTGCATAGTGACTCGATCATGCACATTATAAAAAATTTTCCATTTCTAGTTCCTAGAATTATTTCCACCCCTCTTTCTGACCCTCTGTCCCTTCCCACCCTCCTCTCACACCACCTCCGGTGTCCACAATTGTCCT